CCCCATCCATAAAAGAAAATCTAGATGACCCCAATGGAATGAAATGATTTCGATTGGCAGTGTGGGCACTTGATTTAAGATATCATACATGCTAAAGCAATGCTCACAAACCTGAGCTATATATCCATCTAGTCTGCGATTTATTGGTAATTTTAGTGGGTGGGAGGGATCACCCCGGTAGTGACAGGTCGTTACCCTAGAATTACAAAGTTCTATCAACTCAGTACTTAGTTTTTATAAAATTGGGGTGAAAAACTTTGAGTTTCACATGTCAGGCTTTTTCGAATTCAATCTTCATAACGACTCCGAATCATCTTACGATTTTGACAGAGCAGATAGATCATGTTTAATTATGAGCTTGCGAGACGTTATCTTACAAGCGGTGCACATTGGACGACCAGTTCGGTGCAGTTAGGTTCCTGGCGGCTTTAGTGCACCCTATATAAATAAACCCCTGCCTCAAAACGATCTCCCGTTCTAACGGCCTTGAAAACAAACGCGTTTGTTCTTGAAGGCAGTCGTCGGTTTCGTTCGGTTTGGGCCAAAGTAGTAGCTGTATTCCCTCCATCGAGGAAGATCTGGCTAGCCTCGACGGCCGAAACGAACCGTACCGATCCTGTCATAGGGCACTGACAATAATGCCCCGCTTATACCAAGTGCCCTTCGGGAGATCGACAAATTGATTACACCAACCAATCGCCCGATTCGCAGCCTAAAGACAAAGACCGATAACATAGAGAACGCCGAAATTTAAGTGGCTGAAGATCGACGCTGATAAGCGCCAGTAGGAGTCTGCTTGACTCCACATAGAGGGCGCCTAAGGCCTAGATCTAGATATAAGGAAAACAATTACACCACAACACTACTGGTATTTATGAAAAATTTATTTGGGGATTTTAAAAAACGAGATTTTCCTAAAATATTGCTTAAAATGTAATTCTGCTCAGCTGCCACCCTAATTTGACGACGCTGATTTAAAAAATGTAATTAGTTTTTGTCTACCGTGAAGCACCAGCTCTGAAATGGCCATTTAAAAATGTTCCCTGTCCAGTCGGGTGACATCACACAAACCGCTCAACCCGCGTTTGGCGACGGCGAGACGGCACTGAGAGTTCGCGACCTCAGTGCTTGCTTGTCGCATCTCCATTTTTAATAACAGTGAAAGCAGTTCACAACAAAGAGTAAGCTTAAGAAGAAGTCACATTTTCACTTTTTAAAAATGGAGATAGGACAAGAAAGCACGAGGTCGCGAGTTGACAGCGAGACGCCCTTCCAAGTTTTTCGGCGTAATAAGAATATAGTTTGGATTTCGATAAAGCCGACAACGCCGATCCGAGCTTAAAGCCGCCTGCAGTTAGCCCCGCCTACCATATCGAATCGAACTTAACCGAACCGAATCAAACTTATCCGAACCAATTGTTCCAATGGGGACCCCTAATTATATTAATATTATGTAGATGGGCGGAGGGAACATTACATTTTAGACACTTACAGGTGGTAAAAACCGACGCTGGCTACAAAAACAAAAAGTTGACGAGTACTGACCTTAATTATAAGAGAAAGAGAGATGCGGCAATGTCATTATATGGGTTGAAGGTCCGTTTCATTGAACCAGGACTCCCGCATCACATTCCGGAATATAACAAAACAAGTACAAAAGCGAGGCCAGGTTTCTAGCAGTTGACCTGGCAAGGATCATAATCCTGGACACTTCATCAGTGCTTTTTAGAGGCGGCTTGCCAACTGAACCAACAACGTGTAAATCAGTTGGGGTTTTTTAAATTTGTTCTTTTCTTTTCGTGTTCTTTCGTTTCGTTTTGTGTTCCTATAAAATATTTTCTCTATTTTTATTCTTTATTTTTGTCTTTAAGGGGTAGGGGTTGCGTTCAAAAACTCTCCAACTCATTGTTTTACGTTTTGTTAACGATCTGAAAGTGAAAGTGAAACTACGCAATCTTCCGACGGGTTTACACAGCTCTGCGTACCAGGTTTATCTTTTCTTTTTTTTCTCTTACCAAACAGGCCCTTTCATCAATCAGCTGTCAAAATCAAGATAAGATAAATATAGCTCTCATGGTCACGTGAATTTTTTGTCACGTGCCCGAATGACTTACCTTTATCTGATTGGCCGTCTAATTATGGCGGCAATTTTTATTTCTTTTTCATCGCAGAAAATGTCATTGGTCTTAACCTATTATGTTAGGCATCCTGGTGAAATCAGGCGCTTGTCAACATTATGAAATTGAAGATACCAGCATTTGTCCACCGGTTTGGCAATTATTTTCGATTTTTAATTTTTTTTTTCTTTTTGA